GGTTCAAGCTCACCAGCTGCTCCTTGGAAACCCTATACAGGGTTGCTATGGGTCAGAATCAACTCGATGGCACTTGACAACAACAACACTGAAAATTTTGGGAATAACTAAGGGTTTTCTATGGGCCATCAAATTTACTACTGGTATAGATTGCCGTTTAGGAAAACTCTAGACTGAATTCAGAACATAACCTGAAATGTTTTTGTTTTATTTATTTTAGGCATCCTTTAAACACCTGCTATTAGAATGATTTGTATGTATTTGCAGCTGCCTTCCAAAAACCTTCTTCAAACTAAGCAGAAACTAAAGTATATATTATTTAGCAAACTGATCCCAAGAGGTTGAATGAATGTTGGAAAAGGTTGTTTGTTACTTCTCGATTCTTCTGAGGATTTAAGGTTCAATCTACAAGCATAAAGCCCTGAGAACTCCTGAAATAAGTTTTTCAAACTTTGTCCAACTCTAGGCTTTCAAAATATTTTTTGTTTCCTGAACCTTTCTATATCATCTTTGAACATTCTAAAACATTCTCCTTTTTCAGATAGCATTGCTAGACTAGTTCTAATTTTTGCAAGGTATTTTTAGAGAAATTTTCTTCCAGCAGTTCTTCAACTATTTCCTCTGTGGACTTGTGTGATTCTTCTTGTTCTGGAATGCTGATAATTCTTAAGTTAATCCTCTTCATGTTGTCCAAAATGAATCTTAGACCTTCTTCAGATTTTTAAAATACTTTTTTGTGTTTGTTCTTCTATCTTAGTGGTATTCAGAGATTTGTCGTCCAACTCACTGGTTCTGCCTTCCATCGCGTCTATTCTACTCCTTTGCTCTTTGCCCTTGCAGAATATTGTCTATTTCTTATATTCTGTTATTGATCGTTTGGGCCTCTTTCTGTAGGTTTTGAATTGTTTCCAAAGCTGTGTCTGTCTTATTCTGTGATTGTTCCTGTAGCACTTTCCTGACTGGTTCCTTACTTTTCTCAACTTCATTTTAAAGGGTTTTGAAACATTTTATAATCATTTTTCTGAATTCCTTCTCAGGCATTTCCAAGGCCTGCCCTCCTTCCAGAATGGAGTCCAGGTCTACCTCTGGGTCATTTGTCTCAGACATTTTATCTTGTTTCTGGACATGTGATATGGTCATCAGCTTTTGCTTCTTGGACATGTTTAGTGTTTATCTGTGGCCTTAATACTTAATTGAGTATGTGTTTTGGTATTTTTTATGCTTTCTGATTGCTTCCAGGGAGATGTGATCAGGATGTGGACTTCCCTTTTCACTCTTCTTACTGCTTAACTCAGAGTAACTTTCACAGATGTTGTCTGTTTCCCTGGTATATGGCTGTTGGTTTTGGTTCTTGCCTGGGTTTTGGTGTTTTATAGAGTGTGATTGTAGCTTGGCTATATGGCAGCAGTTGCTGACTCTTCTTGTGTAATATATGGAGAGAAAGAGTCCCCCAAAGGTAGAAGGGGGAGCATATAACAGCAAAACAGCACCAGTGAAAAAAAGCAAGAGAAAAAAACAACAACACAAAAAAACAAAAAACCCAGCAACAACAAAAACTAGACTGAATACTGCAGTCTATAATCACAGAAAGGGAGAGGAGGGAGAGAAGGAGAAAAAAAAAAAAAATCTGTAGCCGAATATGAGTATGACTTTAATGTCCCCTCTTCAGCTTTCAAAGCTGCCTGAGAGATTTCAAGATGCCAATGTTGGTTGTTACACTGTACCTCAGGCTTTAATTTAATTTTCTGGCCTGTTTTGTTTTTAAACTCTCTTTCCCTCTCCATAGCCCTGTCCTGCCCTTTCCCTTGTTAAAAAACAGAAGACAAGCAAAAAACGTTCAGGGCCTGCTCTTGGGCTGAGTATCTGTGTGCATGTGTGGCAGAAGAAGAATCCACCACCAGTGGTGAGGGTGGGGGGTGTCCACTTGCTCAGCCTCCCTCTCTGTCACCAGAATGGAG